TTCATTGCTTAAAATAATTCAATCTTGAATTACTAATATACACCATATATGTACTTGCACATACTCGTATATCATATTGTAGTCTTTTTCAAACTGTACGCCGAATTGTTTTTCCGGACTATAAACGCAATTAAAACTACTCTAGTAATTGCAAACTAAATTGACAAGCAATTTTAATAATTTGATGCTATGGATAAAAATTAATTATTAATATCGATCGTAAGTCTCAGGGACTGTGCATAAAATGAAAAAAACATTAGGAACAGGGATAAGTAGTAAGATTTCATCTCAGAAACCAACATCAGAATATATACTTTCTTATAGCTTAAAATCTTAATATTTATTCCTATTCCGAATATTGCCTTTATTGAGCACAGAGCCTTAAGCTGCAAAAAAATTAATTAATTTGAAACACAATGATAATAGTCGTGTAATAATAGTCAAATCTTAAGAAACCGATCAATCACAGTGAAATGTGAGAAAAATAATTAATATAATCAGTCAATTTCTTAAAACTTGACGGGCCTACAATAAGCTATCACTTAAGCTTCAAGTTTTATGCCACAAGAAATTAATCAATTTGTAGTCGATTATTCTCCTCGCATTCGACTGTCATTGGTAAATTTTTTATGAGTCAAGGTTTAACAAGGGCCAGCAGAAGTGCGAATGATGAGAAAACGTACTTGCGATGCTGACACACACACACACACACACACACACGTACACAATATTTGCATTTTACTGTAGGCCTGTTTCTTGTAGCTAAAGTTTTTGCACGGCTTATCGTTCTTCCTTTTATCTCTGTTTCTCTAGAAAGAAAAAAAGAAAAGATGAACCGCGTGCAAAGAAGTTGAGCTAAAAAGAACAGGCTATATATTGTCTTGTAAAAGAAATATTTCGTAAAACTTGTTTAAGTTTACTTAGTATTTTACTAATTATGAAGCCCGCCAAAGAGCCGAAATTTTCAATTTCGCGATCGATTAAGTGTCAACCGTGATTGGTCAATTTCTCATTGTAGCAATCGGGCGAATATTACTGACGGTGCAGATGAGATCTAGTGAGATATCAAAACGAATTTCTATTTTGCATTTCTTTTCCCCCCAAAAAAGCCACTATTTAACATGATGCAAGTAATTCTCCTAATTACGAGTATCGCAAGTATATTGCAATTTTTTCAACATTTTAGTTATCATAATAAAAGTCGGTAATAAAAGAAATTCGTCTCCACCATCGAGATCCTGAAATTTTACATTTTAAAATCTTATTGTAGACACTTCTAAAATGAGAGTAAGTAGTATACCTGAGTTGACGAAAGCAAAAAAGGAAATTCTAACGCAATCCAGAGTGTAACGATAAAAAAAATTTTTGCAATAAGTTTATTACAGTTTTTTTAGATTTGAGAAATTTGGAAGGATTATTAATATTTCAGATTAATTGCGTTGAAAGTCCGACAACCATATCGGCAGGCAATTATCATTTCTGAAATTAATTCATTTAAATGAATATATATAGTAGTTCAACATCTTAACATTCAGACCGGAGTGGTGGTTCATATCTAAAGTAATATATTTAACATAAATGGTCTTGTTTTCAATCATATTGTTAATAAAAAAAAACTTATTATTCTGTAAAACGTTAAGAAATTTCAAGAGATTTCTTGTAGATTTCCAATAGGAGAAAGAAAAAGGTACACTCGCGTATTTATCCTTTCGTTAGACTCGATTTGTTGTCATTCGCATGGAAATGGAGACGGGATTAGCGATTAGCTGCATTCAGCAAAAAATTAAAAGCTGATTAGCTTTGCAACTATTGTCAAGTTGTTTAATCCAATTGATTTAGATTCGATGTATTAAGGAACTTTATAATAATTTTATATTAGTAAAGCGGTTTTTTTCGCCTAAACGCAATCAATTGGAGAGAAAACTAATCAGTTAGCGCTTAGTGATTCTTTAATACGATTGGTTGCTACACTTAGATCCAACGAATAACTAAAGGTAAGAACCAATCATATTGAAGAATATCACTAAGCGCTAACCGATTAGTTTTCTCTGCTGAACGCAGTCAATTGACATTTGTCAATTCCTAATCGGCAGTATTGGCAGTATTGGCACATCGGCACTGCCGAGTGACGCTTAGAGCGGCGGGTAAACTAAGGCTAAGATCCAAAAGAACGGGAGACGTGCACGGTGGTGGTGGTGGTGCAATGATTGTCGGGAGGGAGGTAGAGGGAGGAAGGGGGTGCGCATGTACGATCTGGTACGATTGTACGCGCACGGAGCCGAGCAAACGCCACGCGTTGCGCAATGTACCAACTTTCGTTCGTCTGACGGCGACAGCGCAGGTAGGAGGGCGGGGGCGAGAGGGGAGAGAAGAGGAGAGGGGGGGGGGAAAAAACCACGCGTTGTCAGCAAAGGGGATTAAGGAATTCGCGGCAGCGAAGAGCAGCGTCGTTCCCGAGTGATTCTTCGATGATGACGATGATGACGACGATGACGTTCTCGCGAAGAAATCGGTTCGCTCGTGTTAGCGACACTGCGTGCGGAGGCTCAAAACCAGGACGACGATCGTATCGCGGTCGCACAATCACATCATGTCCGTCGCAAAATGGTGGCGTACGGCGGTGGAAATCCGAGGGGAAACACTTCACGAAATCTTCCGATTTCTTCTCGCGTGTAATCGTATTCGTATCCAGACGCGCGCAGTAAAAATGACGATCAGGATGTGGATCCGAGAGAGAGAGTGGGGTGTACGCTTCACCTACCTGAGACGAGTTATCGGGCACGAGCGGGGACGCGAAGCGAACTAGACTATCCGTTTCCTCGCACACTCCGAACAGTCCGAACTCCGATGGTATGATGATATGGGATGGGATGGCAGTGGACGCTGACGCTGACGCTGACGGTGACGCTCTCTCTCGACTCTCGAGTCCACGGCTGGCTCTCTTACCCGCCCCTCGCTTTACTCGCCTACTCCCCGCCACTCTACCTACTGCGGGAAATTAAATCGCGCGAGAGAGGCACGTACGAGCCCGCGGTATGCCGGCAGCCAATCCGACGACGGGCCGTTGGCCGGCCGGCGCACCTCATTGGTCGCCGGTGCATCGAGTGCAGCGGCGAGTGCCCTGTCAATCGCTCGCGGCTCGAAATCATAGCTATAGCTAGCTGGTAGATATGTATGTATGTACATCCTCTCTCTCTCTCTCTCTTCCCCCTTGCCACTACCATGGATCGCCGTCCCATTCTCCGTTTCACGCCACGCTTGTACCGACGATTCCACGAACCGTGCCGCGAGGAAGAACGCGGACAATGTCGCGACCTGTATGGAGACATTGGAGAGACACAGGAGCTCAACCCGTTCACCTCGGTCGTTTCGCGGCGAAAGGGTTAAGCGAGGGGAGGGGAGGGGAGGGAAGGGGAGAGTCGGATCGATCGATGGACGCCGCGGAAATCTAATGAGTTTTCAGGGATGTAACTTGTAAGCGAGAGCGAGAGCGAGAGAGAGAGAGAGAGAGAGCGCGAGCAGCCGATTTCCCGACGCTACGCGACGCGACGCGGGCGAGATCAATAACGTAGAGCGGTAGAGCCGCTCGCAACGAGTCAGGCGTCAGCCGCGTGTTCATGCGCGTATTTACACGTTTCGCCGCCGCGCGCGCCAATTAAGAGGAGGACGTAGCTGCTTCACGCTCGCGCGTAACCGCGAGCTCACGTGACCGCGCTACTCGAATACAACACGTATATACGATAAATACACGACAAAGGGGAAGGGAACATTCCCCGACGTCCGACATATAATAGGCCTGCAAACTTTTGCAGCGTTTATTTCTCTCTCTTTTTCCTCAATATAGAAGGGAAAGACTGTGAAAAGAGAGAACAAATCTATCACATTCGTATATATGACCGTGGCGAAGAAGCAAGGGAGGGGAGGGTAAGGGGGAAGAGCAAAGAGCTTTGTCTCCGCGAGCGCGATTCTACCTCCCGCCCGATCGGCCCGACGCTCGTTATTCGTTAAACTTCGAGAGTCGCACTCGAGAGTGAGAATTGAATTCGGAATTCATAATCAATCGAATTCGAAACGAAACGGATTAAAACTCTCCAACTAGTCGAACTCTAATCTTCATTTCTCTCCTTGTTCTTTTCGATTGTTCGCCGAGGATCGTTTGCGCGTAGAGAATCCGATATGGAAAATAGAACGTATAGATTATTCGCGCGAAAAATAGTCCCATTCTCATGTTCATGCCCCCGGGCATGCCGAGGATGGATGTATGCATACTTACAGTACTCACAGTTTAATTACACCAAGCGTAAATTCTCTCGTCGCGTCGCGTCGTATCGTCCGCTCCGCTCGGCACGGCTCGGCTGATCCCCGGGGTCGAGCCGTTGAGCTATCCCGTCGTCTACAGGTCGCGGCGGGGGGAGAGGGAATGGAAAAAAGCGCGAGACGGCGCCAGACTGACAGGTACGCCGACGAGGATGCGTGGCGTGTTATCGAAAAGCGACGCTACTGTTCTACACGGGAGAAAGGCGGTTGTTTATCGTGCGATAATGTAGCTAATATGTATAGCGAGGCTGCCGACTGTGACGTAGGGCAAGACTATTTCGCGCCGCGGATCGACCTGTGAAATCGTGACAGTCGTGAGAGATCGATGTCCGCTCTATAACCGAGTGAGCGAGAGAGACAGAGAGAGAGAGATAGTAAACACGCTCGTATTAAGATTTTTGCAGATCGTGTGGGATCATATGAAACGTTGCGCGTCACACGCGTCGTCGCGTCGTTTGGTTCGCGCGAATCGATAGCGGCGTGCAACGTGCAAATGCTTGCACAGGCGCGCGCGTCTTGCGCGTCTAACGCACGCACGCACGCACGCACGCACGCACGCACGCACGCACGCACGGGCAGACAGAGACAGAGTGTGATATGTATCTATATTGATACACATGTACATGGGATGCCGCACGAAATCATACCATTTCATTGATCCGATATATCAATTTTTCAAATTGGCACACAAAACAAACAAATTGCTACAAAATTCTCCCCAAAGCCCGTAAATTGGATAATAAAATAGTACATTTCCTGCGTCACTCAGTATACATTAGGTCTGTTTTTTTTTATTGCTGCACTCTGAACCGGTGCAATAAGTTGAAGTGAAACAAATTATATTATATATTTGTTTCACTTCAACTTATTGCAATGTGTATACTAGTTCAGAAAGTGCAGCAATAAAAAACAGACCTATTATAAAAGACGATACAAGAGATACAAGAGTTTGTTACATCCATTAGAAAATGTATTTTGTTATATCGTTACATCATTTGGTTAGTACTATAATCGTTACGATAATTACAACTTATAATTACGAACTCGACAAGAGGATTACATTTGGAGAAAAAAGCTTTTAAGATGCGCGCGCACTCTATTAATATATGCCATCTACGGTTGCATTCTATTATTCATCGCTAGTACTGAAAATCTCACAGTATATTTTCAATACTCACAGTGAACAATGCGTACGTTCCATACATCCTTGCAAAGAAAAAAAAAAAAAATTTCGCGCAGCGCCAATTGCAGCCCTCTTGCCGTATCTTCAATAATGTGTTTATAATTATAGATATATTTATTTAATGCATTTCCTTAGGGATACATGAAACACTTACTTAGTTTCTAAGCTTACAATATATTTATATACGTAGTATGCGATGTATCTACTATAAGTAAATTTGTTTAAGAGTTATTCTAAAGAGTGAGATTAATGCAAATCGAACTATATGCGCGTTGAGTGTGTAATAATATTATTACCAATAAACAACTAATCAACTACCTGTTCTCTGTTCTATCACTCTTCAATACATGTAGACATATCCCTTTATACGAAAAGTGCATACCGGTATAAGTAAATTTGTTTGTACGTAAAGAAGTGTTGAAAGGACGATGTAGATTTGCTCCCATAAAGCAATACAACTATCGTTGTAAAATCAAGCGCTAATACCTGGCGTTCTACAAAAAAAAAAACCATGAAATCTACGCAATATGTTTCGTGTTTTATTTCTGTTAATCCTGATATAAAATAAAACTAATGACTTTCTATAATTTCAACTTCTATTAAAAGCAAATTACAATTAGTTTTTTAACCTGTCATTTTTCTTAATTATTGTATGAATCATGAATCATCCGATCGAGTTTAAAAGTCTAATCAAGACTCACTTGTTATTCGTCTTTTCCAGGTATCTATTACAGCAGTTGGCAGTGTGTTAACTATGATAAATATACACGGAAGAGAGTCAAGAAAAATTTGAGATTGTTTAGAAACATACAATATCGAAATAATAATAAAATGAGAACGCTCTGTGTACTGTTTGTGAACGGTTTAAGCGCGTTCACCGCGAATTCGCCGTGCCAGTTGTATATCTTTTGGCATGATCGTGACACGTTTGGCGTGAATGGCGCACAAATTCGTGTCTTCGAACAGGCCTACCAGGTAAGCTTCCGACGCTTCCTGAAGGGCACCTATAGCGGCGCTCTGAAAGCGCAGATCGGTCTTGAAATCCTGTGCGATTTCACGAACCAGACGCTGGAACGGCAATTTCCTGATGAGCAACTCCGTGGACTTTTGGTATCTTCGGATTTCTCTCAGAGCTACAGTACCGGGCCTGAAAAGAAGATTCAAAATAAACAGAAACATTCTCATAAAAAAAAAAAATTGTTTAAATCTTCTTTCAAAGATATCAAATTTTATTTGAAACAAGTATATTCAACATGAAATATCAATTACATATTTAATATTTTCTCATAATTTCTATATTAGAAATACTATCAAAATTGCTATAAAGAATTATTCAATACTGTAAAATTGACAAATATCTTTGATATTTTCAAAACAATATGTCCAAGGTAAGCTTATACATGTCGTGTGCGTGTGTGTGCGTGCGTGTAGGTACACAGCACATACCTGTAACGATGAGGTTTCTTGACGCCTCCAGTGGACGGCGCGCTTTTACGTGCCGCTTTGGTGGCAAGCTGCTTCCTGGGTGCCTTTCCACCCGTTGACTTACGAGCCGTCTGCTTGGTACGCGCCATGACGATGAGCGAGCTTTCGTTATTTTCTTCTCCTTTCTATTGCGAACCCCGGTCCCTAGTGGGACAAAGCATCAAGATACATAAGTTAAGACGCTTCCTTGGTAAAGAGAGGGGGAAGCAGGCTATAATCAGTGACCCCCGCCAAGCATACCAACGCACGCATACACTATGCAATAGGGAGCAGGGGGGGAGAGGACAGAGACAGAGGAAGAGAAAGGGCGGAACGAGAACGGACAAAAAAAAGAAAACCGGAACGACCGCCGAATATCTGTCACGCGATTCTCTCTCGAGATCGAGGAATACGAAATTTGACAGACTGAAACGATTTATACGAGTTCGAGAAAAACGAAATACCACGACGCGTTTACTGATGTAACGCGACGATGATTTCCCTCCAAAAGTAAGCACGCATAATAAACAAGATGGCGGCAGCCAAATGCACTTTTCCTGAGGTATGCAAGGCGAAGGCGGCCCGTCCGAATCACGCGCGTCGTGGAAATTTCTTCGTACCTCGACATTTTCCCATCGCGAAGCGATATTCGTCGCAGTTTCTCGTGATTCCTACCAAAAACGTACAAGAAACGCGTGCGTAGTTTAATCGACGGTCGCAATCGCATGCGAAACAACTCACCTGATTATTTCAGCCTTTGAACGCAATGACGCTTCTCACAGATCACTTCGATCGAGAACGAACCTTACGACTAACGCGAACGTCGCGAATGTACAGACAACAGAAACTACTAGAAGGCTTCAAAGGGAGAGAGTGGCAAACTGCATCACGTGACCTACTCTTCCTCTGATTGGACGCCGACATTCAAAGCTCTATAGACATGGAAGAGATTGGAGAAAACGGGTCACATCCTGATTGGACGCGGACATTTACGTCATGCAATTTGCCACTCTCTTTCTTTGAGGCTTTCTAAAAAGCATCATTGAGTATTGTTGCAGGTTAGATTATTCAACTAAATTATTCAACACTAGAAATACAGGATTATTCAACACCAGTGTCGCTAATCTAAAATGCTGATTGGATAATCTAAAAGAATATACCAATAACAATGAGCACTCGCTGTTATTGGTATATTCTTTTAGATCATCCAATCAGCACTTTAGATTTGAAAGAATACATCAATAGCAGCGAGCGCTTACAACTGTCGAGTCCGCTAAACGCAGCCTCATGAACTATACAAGGTGTTTGGAAAATAATGATTAATGATAATCGCATAGTGGTCTTGAATAATTTTTTACTCAAATACTATTAATTTTACAGAAAAATTGCAAGAAACAAAAATTGTTTATTTTCTTCTCATAGAGCTTTAAGAATTTTTTAAGAATTTTTCTGAAGTGTTTAATATCGTATTTTCTCATGTTGATAAAAATGAGGAAATGCAATACTAAAAAGTTGATAAAAAATTCTAAAAAATTTCATAGAGGTCTATGAAAAGAAAATAAACAATTTTTGTCTCTTGCAGTTTTTCTGTAAAATTGATAATAAAAAATTATTGAAGATTAATTTTCTCGGTAATTTTTAGCAATTAATATCTTGATAACTATTGCGAAAATTGCAAAATGGTAGAGAACTTTTCTTTTCAGTTTAGTCCATTCTATCCTTATACGAAAGATTTATCATTATTTTCCAAATCTGTATATTTTCCAATCCTGTATAAGGTGAGTCATTCCCATGGAAAGTGCATATTCGGACATATTTGATTGCCTACTTCCAGTATTGCTATCGCTATTATGCGTAATATTTCACCTTATATATTTTTACTATAAGCAGCCTGCAACTTACACAAAGCAGCCTGAGTCTTATCGTCTCGTGTGAATAAATAAATGTTTTATTTTATAAATTTAAAATTGTATTATTCTTTAAAAATTAATATTGATTACTATTTTCTAACAATATTTTTTATTATACTTTATCAATATTTATTTATTAATATGTTTTAAATTTATTTCATTTACTTCATATAATGCTGAAAATTTGGTTGGTGTCCAATTTCTTCGTTTCATATTAATTGTTGGGAATGAGTGAATTCCAATAAAATGATTGAAAGATGGTTTATTTAGTCAAAAACAGACTTGACGACACATCGTATACAAAAACGGTTAAAGAGAAGAAAAACTGCCGGTAGGGCATGAATACAAAAAACGCGCCTAGCGGCAAACAGAATATTCAAAACATAAAGATGTCGATAACTAATCGGCTGTGACTCGTATGTCGGTAATCTGCCGGGCGCCATAATTGATTGGACAAGCAACTATCCATCAATCTTCCACTTTTCGATGTCCTATCCTATAATGTTCAGGCAACGATTATGTGAGATTCGTTTTAATCCCTTGGTAAGGATGTCCGCAGGATTTTCGTTGGACGGCACATACGATAGGACCAGCTGGCCATCCTCTACTTTCTCCCTCACAATATGGTATATAGGCGATGTCGATATGTTTCGTCCTGTTTTTCTCCACTCTGTTTCTGGAGAAATTCTGCTTTCATTGTGGAAGTTGATATGCCAGTCTGTTTCGTTGATCGCCAATGGATGAGATTTCCTCCTAGCATGACCGCAATACCGGTGTATGAATGTCGATCATCTTGATCTCCTGCCCAGTCTGCGTCGCAATAAACTTGAATCCGTTGCTCGTTTCCAGCTTTGTATGTCAATCCAAGGTTCTTGGTCTTACCCAAGTATCGCAGGACGTGTTTCGCTTGATTCCATTGAGACCTTCCTGGATTGGAATTATATTGTGATAATTTTGAAACAGCAAAAGCGATGTCTGGCCTCGTATTCTGAGCCAGATACATCAATGATCCTATTAGCTCTCGATATGGTACGCACGACATGTCTTCCTTTTCGTCTGGTGTTTTCGGACAATCCTCTTTGCTCATTTTTATTCTTAGGTTCAAGGGGGTTGACGCCGGTCTATTCTCTCGCATGTTATATCTTTCAAGCAGTGATTCAATGTAGTTCTCCTGTGTTAATTTCACTGTATCAGGCTGCCCAGTCAAGTTTCACTCCTAACGCGAAGTGTATCTCTCCCAAATCCTTGACTTCATATTTCCTTGTTATGGTTTTAACCACTTCAGTGATCGAGTTTGACTTTCTCGAAAATAGAAATATATCATCTACGTATATTATTGCTATTAGCCAATGTTCCTTATGATATGTGCAGTTTGAAGATTTGAGCCTTTTAAAACCTATTTCGATTAGAAAAGTGTCTAGTTCTTCGTTCCAGTTCCTTCCTGATTGTTTTAGTCCATAGATGAGACGCAGCAGCCTCGCCACTTCTCCATTTTCAGCGTTCGTGAAAGGGGGTAACTCCATGTATATCTCTTCTTGCAGGTTTCCGTATAGGTACGCATTTTTTACATCAATGTGTCTGGTGTGCCACTGATATTCTACTGACAGAGCTGATAGTAATCTAATCACTGAAAAGTTTACCACAGGTGAATACGTTTCGCCATAATCAACTTCCTTTCGTTGTGTGAAACCTCGCGCCACTAATCTAGCTTTGTACCTCGTAATCTTACCATCGGCATTTGCTTTCAGTTTGAATACCCACTTGCATCCTACGCATTTCTTCCCTTCAGGCAGCTGAGTAATCTCCCAGGTTTTTTGTTGCACTAAGTTATCTACCTCTTCTTTTATTGCGCACCTCCATTGTTTAGATTGCGGTGATGCCAGCGCTTCGTTAATGTCTTGCGGCTCCCTGACTTCTATTAGGTTTACCTCTATATCACTTGCTTCCGTCGACGCTTCCTCTTCTTCACATATTTGTTGGGTTTCTTTAGGCTTTCCTTTTCTTCCGTAAGGATTACGAGCTTTCCTTTTGGGCCTGCCCCTTCTCGGAGTTTCCGTCGATTCTCGTTCTTCTGCCGTCTCTCTTTCCGAAGAATCTCCCAATTCTACATCTGTTCTTTTGGGCGATCTCGGTGGACTTTTCTTCTTACAACTTAATTGCTTTTGTGCGGGCTCCATTTCTTCTGTTGTCGAGTCGTCTACATCGCCCGGCCAAACTTCATTATATTTGAATCTCTGTGGCACTTCTTTATAGATCCACTCGTGTCCTATTTTATCTTCAGCAAACTTAACGTGCTTTATTATGATGACATCTCCCTTCTGTGGGCACCATAGTCGATATCCTCTCGTTTGCGTGGCGTAGCCGACGAATATACATTCCGCCGCTTTATCGTCCAGCTTCTTTCGCCCTTGGTCTGGTAATCGTGCATAGGCAAGGCAGCCATAAGCCTTTAAATGACGTACGCTTGGATCTTTTCGATCCACACGGTGAATGGGATTTGATCACGAATTGTTGAATGACATACTATGTTTTTGATATATGCTGCTGTAGTGACTGCTTCGGCCCAAAATTTTGGAGGTAGATGTGCCGATTTGAGCATTGATCTCGTCAGATCCAATAGGGTTCTGTTTATTCTCTCAGCTACCCCGTTCATCTGAGGCGTCTCCACGTTTGATTTTTCATGTTTAATGCCTGCAGATCTGAAGTATTCTGATAATTCCTTGTTGCAGAATTCTAATCCATTATCTGTTCGGAATCTCTTTACTTTTCTGTCTTTTTCGCGTTCTATTCTAGCAATATAGCTTTTTACACAGCTTTTAACTTCTTCTTTGGAGCTTATACACAAGACCGTAACATTTCGCGAGAAATCATCCGTGAACGTTATGAAATACCTGCTACCGCCTATTGATTTCACGGGCATAGGACCACACAGATCCGAATGGATTAGTTCACATACTTCTCTTGATTGTCTTGATTTTAAGGTAGCGCACGCGGTCTTCGTTGCCTTTCCTATGCAGCATGCTTCACATGTGTGTCTGTCCATCTTCGCGTCGTCCAATCCGATAACACGATTCGCTTCCGCTAATTTCTTAATTGTGCTATTGCCGACGTGACAGAACCTATGATGCCACAGATCAATTTCTAACGTACAAGATTCCTTCATGAGCTCTCGTGGTGCATCAGGGTCCAACTCGACACCTAATACATATAAATCATTTCGCCTATATGCTTCGCATACTACTCGTTTGGTAGCGACATTTCTAATTTTTACTTTACCGTTCCGTATTAGTAACTCTTTCCCTTTTCGCTCCATTTGTGAGACCGACATCAAATTCTTTCTGATATTAGGGACATAATAAACATCTCGCAGGACTATATTTCTTTTTACATTTGCAACGGTCGTTTTTAGAAATATATCGCCCACACCTTTTGCTCGTAGCGTCGCTCCATTTTGTTTATTCGGATCCGCAGCGGTATTAATTATCTCGGAATCTACCTTTTTAAAATTGGTGAACCACTCTCGTTGCTTACACACGTGATGCGTGCTTCCACTATCCAAAATCCATGTATCTTTGATGTCGACATTATACAAGGACATGAGAAGCGCATCGTATTTCTTTTCCTGTTTAACGCCAGGTTTCTTATGAAGTCCGTCCTTCCTTAATCGGCAATCTCTTGCAAGGTGACCAACTTTCCTGCAATTAAAACAAGTGAGTGACTTATATTTCTCGTTACCTGTTATCTTTGTCTTTTTATCTTCGTTTCTTTTGTTCATCACCAATGCCTCTTTTGACGAATCTGTTCTAACGTCGAGTCTGGATTGACGTCTGTCGTATTTAGCTAACAGAACTCTCTTTATTTCCGCCGACGTAAATCTGTCGTCCGGCAAACTCGCTAGAGCCATATTTAAGTTTTCATAATTGTCTAGAAGTCCAGTTAGTATCGCA